CTGGTGAGATAGAGGCAGACTTTTGCATATGCGTTCTCATCAATGTCCTTCTCCAGCATATCGACCTGCTCGATTTCCATGAGCAGATCACAAGCCTTGTGTTCTGCATTGTGGGCCATATTGTAGGGGACAATCTCCTTCACGAGGGTCAGCAGGGGCTCTCGCTGTGCCTTCTCTGCCTCATCCAGCTCCTGCCACTCCTTAGCCACTTCTCCTGCCAGATGCCTATGAACCGTTAAAGGGGCGCAGCTTAATAAGGAGTACTCCTTTGTGAGTCAAGGAATTCAGTATTCTGGGAAACTGTAAATCGGTATGCCAAGACAAAAATTAAAAATCATACCTTATGTTGTCTCGTCTCCCTCAAATTCCCAAGAAGAAAAGAAAGGTCTTACCTGACATACTCATGACCCCATGATGCCAATTCTTCCTGGGAGCCCACTAGCCGATACTTGAGGCACTCACGCTCCCCACTCATGGTCATGGCCAAGACAGAGATGATGTCAGCCGCAAAGCGCTGGAGAGAGAGCAATCTTTGGAAGTCAAATCCAGGGTAAGGCAAGTGTGACATGACAGAATTAAGATTACTATCACTGTCCCCCAAATGAAATGTTAACCAGTCTATGTACTAGACATTTACAAGGTGCCTAGCTGAAGTCTCACAGTAACTTAATGTTGGTGTTCCCTTCTTTCAAACCAATATGGCTGAGAGATGGTAAACAAGAGGCAGAGTGAAGATGGGGACTGAATTTGATCTTAATTACAACAATAATCTACTGGGTAGTTTTAAGGGAGCTCTGGTGGTGCAGTGGTAAGGAGTTGCAGTACAATCCCAAAGTTATACAGTTTGAATCTGCCAGTTGCTCCAGTAGAGAAAGATGGGCAATCTCCTCGTGTGTAGTTTACTGCCACTGTACACCTACTGGAGAGTTAGCTATGAGTTATTTCCAGTTTGACAGGACAAAACAACAATATTTTAAGCAAAGGAGACACAGAACCTAGAAAAATCACCATGGCTGCTATATAAAAATCAAACTATGAAGGAGAGCAAGAGCAGTGGTCATTTAGGATGTGGCTGTAGTGGTCCAGGTAGAACCCCGGAATAGGATTGTACCAACAGGTGGAAAGAGTTTGAAAGATAGGATACAATTTAGATAAAACAGATGAATATATATATAGGGCATATCAACGAAAAATCAATCTTATGAAAAAATCTGGAGCAAAAGATACATTGCAAAGTCAACTGGAGGAGAAGGTAGGAGGAGGAAAGGAAGAAAATGTGCAACAATGAATGAATAAAACTTTAAAAAAATAAAGAAAACACAAGCTTAAACGTAAGTTAAATATAGATCATGCTTATGAAATTTCAGAGTCCAACGGACAGTGCCTACTTTTTCAAGGTGATTCTCCTTGTTCTGCTCTCAGGTGGGTGGGTATTTGGACAGTGACAAGCTCTGTTTGACTAATTCAAGTCTTTGGTCTCTCAGGCTTCTAGCAACCAGTCATAAGCCCCATAGTTTTGTTGAAAACTCATTCCTAAATTAGGTCTGCATCAGCTTCTGAAATAGGATTTGAGCCTTTGGTTGTTTTTCTTTTTTTTACCTTATTCTCCCCAGGGTCCATGTTCTCATAGATTTCCTTCAGTTTGCCATAATGTGGACGCAGAAATTTAAGCGGTTTCGGCACTGAAGTCATAGAGGTTGTAGATGAACGAATCTGTCTTCGAAGTTCCTCCAGGGCTGGTCTATACAGGGATGTGTCCTTCTCCTGATCAGGATATGTCAGATTTCAGACAAGGATTCACAACCATCTCAGTCATAATACAGAGAGATTTACTGAACACTGCTCTTAGGCAAGAAAGGGTCTCATTTATTTTTGAGGCCTCATCTCCCTGCACACTGCTCTCAACAAAAATCAAATGCTCCCACTTAAGAGTTCAGGAATTCTGCTTCTCCTACAAGAGACAGCTACAAAATCTTTCAAATCTCATTTGCAATTCTCTCCTTTGTAACATCACAATAATCACCCCGAAATACAGTCTGTTTTTCTTCATACTTAACACTGAATAAAGCGAACAGTTGTGAAAAATTAAAATATGTGCCCAATCAAAATATGCGCCCATTCAAGGCTACATTGTGACTCACCCCCAGTCGTTCCACGAGCATCTCCAGTTCATCCTGAAGTTGTTTGTCCTCCTCAGACTGGAGGATTGAGGGAAGAAGCTCATCAAAACAGGGAATCCGAAACACCTCCTCCCGCTCACCCCGACAGGTGCTGAGAGACTGCCACGTTAGGAGAGACCAGGTGGAAAAGGGAAAGGTGGGTGGGAATGGCAAGTCTTGGTGGGGAAGCAGCTTAGCTTCAGGACCATACTCTGCCTGAATGCAGTTCTATGAACTGTAGGTGACAATGATTCACCCGACCCCCTGCTCGCGGGGCAGTCGCGAAGACTGGTGAGGACAGCAGAGGGGACAGCGGAGGTGACAGCGTGGTGTGGCAGAAGAGGGGAGAGGAGCGGGGAGCTAGAACCCCCGAGGATCGCCACATCCACCCTCTCCAGAGCGCAGCGGGGCCGCTGGGAGTCGGGCCCCAGGCCTGCGGAGCCGCCGTGACTCAGCCCGCGGCCTCCTCCGCTGGCTCCAGGAGCTGCGTCTCACCAGCTCCTGCTCTTTGTCCTTGTCCCCTGCATCGCGTCGCTCCTTGCCGCTCTGCTTCTCGTCCGCGCCACCGGGGGCCGTCACTGGGAGCTGCTGGGGCAGCGGCGCCTTGTCCCGGCCACCCTCGTCCATTGCTCACCAGCCGGAGGTGCCTCCGCCGCCGAAGCCGGCCTGTTGCGCGCTCCGCGGCTGGCCCTGCCCCGTATCCCAAGCGGCCTTGCGCACGCCGGCCGTGGGGCTCCTCCTCCCGCGAGCTCGACCGGAAGGGCCTCTGCGAGCGGGGGGCGTGGCGACTCGCCCTCCTCTCCCACCCTCAGCCGGCGGCCGCAGCCCTCGGTCCCCGGCCCCGGAGGCGGGTCTAAACTACGGTCCCAGCATCCCGCGCGCGGAGCATTCTGTCGGGGGCCGCGGTCTCCTGGTCTGCGGGATCGTCTTGTGTCCGACACGCGGGTATTCTTACCCTTCCGTTTCCCTCCTAGGCACTCCGGTGGCCTGCTGGGTAAGCAGTTGCGCCGCCCACACAAAGGCAGATGATTTCCCTCTTGGGAGCTCTGGTGGCCTGGTAGGTAAGGAGTTGCGCTCCCCACTCACCGACTGTTCGAATCTACTAGCTGCTTCCAGGGAGCAAGATTGGCTTTCTCATTCTGTGTCCTTTTCTGCCTCTGAAAACTGCTGGGAGCTATGAGTCGGATCCTGCTTGACAGCACAGGTCTCCGTTATGGGAGTGTGAATAGTTGCCAGTGGGGCTGTGTGGTTTCACTAACAGGCAAGATCTTGAAATCTGGAAGGCTTGACTCACACTGAAATGTGTGTGTGTTATATGCATCATAGTGGAATGTTGACCTCGTGACGAAGTTTCCCTCCATCTGAGAGTGTTCATAAGGATATGAACGCTGTATTAAATTCTGTGGGAACCAGAAGGCATAACAATCAAGTAAAACCCTATGTTGCAGTGCTGAGTCAGGAACGAAAAGTGGAACAAGCAAGGCCTTGGCCTTCATTTCCCTCCTGTCTCTTGTGACTTAGGGAGGAGGTAATTTATTTAATCAGGAGTGCTTTTAAGTGGTTACATGTTCTCATAAATCATGTTTTGAGATTAATTCAGTTAGGCCCATTTTACAGAAGAAACTGAAGTTTCGAAATAAAACAATCAGTCATCACATAGTAACGTCAGGAGTTGGATCTCATCTTTCTGTGACTGCTTCAGGCGAACCCCATTTCTTCAGTTTGTGATCTGAAAGGTGAAGAAAGTTGAAGTAATGCTTTCATCTTCATCTGGTAGGAACAATTACCATTTGACCTGGAATCTTTGTTTTGTGGGTTCTGATCAATTAAAGAGTACAATAAGTGTCAAAATCACACTGGTACCATATAACCTAAAAAACTTGCCCAAACAAACCTGTCATTAAATCTACTTAGATTCAAGAAACCCTTCCATGGAGTTTTGGAGACTGTAAGGTTTCAAGAGAGGAGACTGCTTCATCTCTCCCCCAAGGATCAGCTGCATATTGTTCAGTTAGCCAAGTGCAACCCACTATGTGACCAAGGCGCGTTTAGCAGAGTGCGGTTTTGTTTGGTGCCATCCAGTTTATGAGTCAGTAGCAACCCTTTGAACCACAGACCTGAACCTTGCCCTGTCTTGCTCCATCATCACCATCTCTGACACGCTCAAGCTCAATGTTAAACTCACTGAATCAATCCTCCTTGCTGAAGGTCTTCCATTGACCCTCTCTGCCTTACCAAGAATGATGATGCCTTTTTACCAATGACTGACCCACCCCACCCTGTCCGACAGCATGCCCAAAGTATGTGAGACAAAATTTCACCATTCTTGCCTCTAAGGAGCAACCTGGTTTTTTACTTCCTTCCAGGTAGATTTGTTTGCTCTTATGGCAGTCCAGGTTATTCAGTTGGCATCAATTCTTCTGTCATCCTTACTCATTGTCTAATTTTCAGATGTATAGGAAAGAACTGAAAAGGCCATGGCTTGAATCAGGTGTGCCTTCATCTTTAAAGTGATATCGTTGCTCTTTAGCACTATGGAGAGGTCCTTGACAGCAGTTTTTCCTCAATGCAGTATGTCTTTTGCTTTTTAAAAAAAAATTGTGTGTGTGTATGTGTGTGTGTACCATCAAATCAGATCTGACTGGTACAGGAGGAGATTGTCCCTCCTTTTCCAGCAGAGCATCTGGTGTATTTGAACCACACACCTCTGTGATAGTCTTTTGCTTTTCTTTTACAATTCCTTTTTTTTAAATTTTTATTGTATTATTTTTACATGCACCATCAAATCAGATCTGACTGGTACGGGAGGAGATTGCTCCCTCCTTCTCCAGCAGAGCATCTGGTGGATTTGAACTGCGTACCTCTGGGATTGCAGTGCAGCATCTTGCCACTAGGACACCAGAGCTCCCTAGTCTTTTGCTTTCTTGACTGCTGCTACTATGTGTGTTGATTGAGGATCCAAGTAAAAGGAAACTTCATTTTGAAGTTGACAACTTCAGTCTTTTCTCCATCTATCATGATGTTGCCTGTTGGTTCAGCATTGAAAATTAGTGTTTTCTTGATGTTGAAGGCTGTAGTCTTTCATTTTCAGCAAGTGCTTCAAATCCTTTTCATTTTCAGCAGGCAGGGTTGTATCTTAATGCAGGCTGTTGATAGCTCTTCTTTTGATCCTTTGATTCTTCAGATATTTCAGTTTCTGAATTTACTTACTTAGCATACAGACTGAATAAGTATGGAGAAATGATATAAACCTGATCCACACTTTTCCTTTTATAAACCTTGCAGTATTCCTTTGTTTGCTTGAATAACTGCTTTCTTTTTCTTTGTATAGGTTTCTGATGAGCACAGTTAAATGTTCTGGGATTCTTACTTTTGCCAGTGTTATCCACAATTTGTTCTGAGATACACAGTCAAATAAATAACTTTGCATAATTAAGAAAACACGAATAAACATCTTTCTTATATTCTCTCAGCCAAGATCCATCTGATCTCAGCAATGATATCCCATATTCCCTGGCCTCTTCTGAATCCAGCTTGAATTTCTGGCAGTTCTGTTGTTGATGGACTGTTCCAACCATTTTTTAATGATCTTCTGAAAGATTTTACTTGATCTAATATTAATGATATATTTTGATAATTTCTACATTCTTTGACTTACCTATTTTTGGAGGAATTGGAACAAATACAGATCTTTTCCTGTCAGTAGGCCAGGTATAGTTAGCACTAAACAAATGCTCCCTAAATCTTTGTATAGATAAAAATGTAAAAGCTTGAAGCCGATTTGAAAAGCCAGTTGCTCTTTTCCATACAGTGTTTGTATTCTAAAATGATCTTTCTTTTCCATGTTCCTAGCTCTGCTCTGTTGACAGGAGTTGGGCAGTTCATAGCTAGCTGTTCTGTTGCTGTAGCTCTGGCTTCCAAGTGCCCATAAATTACTGATCTCTCTATTCAACCATAAAACCATAAAGGAATTCTCCTAAATCCTTATTTCTTAAAAATACTTTGTGTTGCATTCATGTACATTATTGTGTTTTTTTAATTGTTTCAGTCATGTACATTATTGTTTCTTTAAAAAACATAGAAAATCTTTTTCCCCTGTTGCACATTTTCTTACTTCTTCCTTTGCCCCCTCCCCACAATGCACCCCTTGTTTCAGATATTGTAACATGTTGGGCGGTGTTTTGATTTTTTTTTGCTTCCTCCCTCCATCCATAAATCTCTGTGACCCTGTAATTTTCCCCCACCACCAGTCGGCCTCCCTGCCCCCTTCCCCTCCCTCTGTGTGAATCCATACACATCTGACTGGTTATCCTTCTGTTTTTAAAATAACGGTCTTACACAGCATTTGTTTTTATGCACCTGAGTTAGCTCACTCAGCATTAATGTTCTCCAGACTCTACCATGTTATACAGCATTTTTCAAAATCGTTGCTCCTGAGTGCTGCATAGTATTCCATCCTAAGTCCTCTTTACAAGTTGTTGTTCTGTGCCATCAAGTTGGAACTGACTCATAGCTTACCCCTCAGCAGGTTATCAGAAGCAGGTTTTAATTGCATGGGAAGAGATTGCCCAACTTTCTCCCTTGGCACTGCTGACGGATTCAAACTGCATACCTTTAAGATTGCAGTGCAGATTCCTACCACTCTTGGATTTTGTACTATATACCACTCATGTTCCTACAGGAGACTGGGTGATATAGCAAAAAACCACAGGGAGCTAACCTTTGTATGAATGTTTGAAATGTTCTGTAGTTTTTAAATGTTCCAAAATAAAAAATTGGGGCTAGGGCAAGGGAACATGTTAAGAGACCTGAGAGATCCAGTGTTTAAAACAAATTCTGCTATTTACCAGGTGTAACAGAGGTGCAAATGACCTAAATTCTCTGAATCAGCCTTCTCTAAAATGTGGGTAATAAAATTGCTCCCTCATAAGCTTTAAGTTTAAATTGTTGTTATGCACTTTGAGTCTGAACTGACTGAAGAGTAGCTGGTGGATTTGAACCCCTTGTCTTTGGGATGACAACACAATTCCTCACCATAGACCACCAGAGCTCCCAGGTATAAAATATATATAGAAAAGTGTCTAGTTGAATGCCTGCAGATTAGACAGGGGTCTGGTTGTCATTTTTCAGCTACTTCCGATCAGCATGTTATGGATTGGATTGTGTCTTCCCCCAGCCCCCACCTCCAAGTCTGTGTTGTAAATCTCAATTTAAAGCCTATGGCTATTATCCCATTTCTGAAAGTTTTGTCTTTGTTATATTATTGGAGCAGAATTAGTGTAGGGTGTCTTCATCTATTTTTTACAAGACATAAGAACAAGCTGAGTTGGGGAAGACAGATGTGAAGCTATCCAGAGGTTTCCACGGTGCCAGAAAACAATCTGAAGAAATGGGAACCATTCCCCACAGCCAGCAGAGAGAAACCTTCCCTTAAAGTCCAAGCCCTGTTTGCACTTCTAGCCTCTTAAACTGAAGGAATAAATGTCTGTTAAATTCACTTGTGGTATTTCTGTTATAGCTCAATTCTCAAAACTCACTGCCCTCAATTCAGAACATACTCATAGCTGACCCCTCTGTGGGTTTTCCGAGGCTTTAAATTGAATGAGAGGAGAATGCCCATCTTTATC